CAGACGTTTCCTTTTTCTTTATCTCGTAATTACGAGATCTTTTTCTCATAATTACGAGATCATGGTCTCGTCGCACTCTTGCTCTGTATTTCCTGCCCGGCGTTGTTTTCTTGTATATTTTGTCATTAAAAAGGATACAAAACACAGAGCAGAATGGAGAGGCGCTTCTGGGATGCATAACGGCATTTCTGGTGGGATTTTGAAGATTGTCAAGAATGGGCACGATCAACTCTGTTGACCACGACAGAGCTAGAATACATCATAGCCTTAGTCTTTTTACAAGGTCTCAGACCTTCGTCAGCTCATTAAGGCCTGAGCCATGTCAACAATTGTCATTAGGAAGCATCAGCTGGTGACAGTTTCAAAGCTTTACAAATACTCTGACTCTTCAAACCTCGTGCAAACACTCACCAACCATGGGTTCCTCCTGGGTTCCTCTCAGCAGCTGTGTAAGGCTCTGCTTGATGCCCATTGATACCCACAGAAGTGTTTTCAGTTTGCAGTTTCAACAGTGTGAAATGTAATTAAGAGATGGCAGGGGTCTCATTTTCTTATATTCTTTTTGGCCTGATGATTGCTATGCCTTTGTTCTGGTTGTGTTCTCATTTTAAGTCTGTAGCTAAATTTTGTTTTGTTTTTCAATATCAGAATTTTCTATCTTTTTATGTTGCCTCAGTTGTTTTATACAGGTGTAGCCACTGTGTGTAGCCTTCATCAGTCCTGGACACCACGGTTTTCCAACCATCTCCTGTAAAGAGAAACAATGTTAGACAGTGTTACATAGGTGTTGCAGAAATGTATCCTGAATACATCTGTAGCATGATCATAGGGTGAACCTTTCTGCCTCTGTCCTCTCTTTTCCAGGTGACGATGAGCAGAGTGACTGGTTCTATGACGGTGAGCCGGGCTCCGGTTCAGGGCCCGGAGGTGCGTGTGGGATAGCAGGAGTGGTTCCCTGGTGGGAGAGGGAGACGGGACCAGAGGAGCTGGACCTAGCTGACCCTGTCTTCAACAGTATCCTCACTGGATCCTTCCCTCTCATGAGCCCTGGAGCACAGAGAGGTAGGCTGGAAACTCAGAAACACTGGAAATAGATGTTCTGAAGGGGACTTAAACAATTTGAAATTAAATGTAAATTATGCAATAGGGATTTATGTAGTTATGTTTTACAATATAATCCTACTGGTTTTGGGGGCCAGTGGAAATGTGCTATTTCCTACATTTCACAATGTTGTTGCAATCTCATTTATGGCCAGTAGGAGGCAAACACTTTCCACGGACAGAAATCGAGGCAATACACTAACTACCTATAGCTTTAGCAAGCAGTACTACAAAGAAAAAAACAACTGTACTACAAATAATACATATAGTGATCATTTAGAGCAATTTGTGCCCTCATTTAATCTAACCTTTCTGTTCTCATCACTCACTGATTCTTGCCCAATGTGTTTGTATCACAGTCAAACTCTTGTAGGGACATATATGGGGCTCAGTATCCTTTCATCCAGTATAAACTGCCTGCTGCACTTGAATGTTAAAATTATGAAACTAACCAATCATTTCAATAATTATTGCTAACAAACCCGCACTGTTTCTCTTAGGGTTCCAGGCCAGGCTCAGTCGTCTCCATGGAAACCAGCAGGCATCTGAGGCGGGGCTGCAGGGCAGCTCCAGCCAAGGCTTCAGTGACAGACTGAGCAGACAAAGCCAGGACGCCCATGAGTGAGTCGCCATCTTTATAAAATTACCATTAAGTTCTGTTCTGTTATCTTGTTTTTCACTGTGTATTTTCCTGTTGTTGTTGTTGTTGTTGTTGTTCATATATTTTCTTAATAATCTGTTTGTATGTTTGCACTTAAAGTTGCATTTTACTTTATGAAATAAAGTGGTTGCACTGGAAAAGTCTCTAGTACACTATTAGTTTGCAGACAGCAAGGTTAGATAAACCAAAACCACAAATTAATATAGCCTTAAATTGTTATCGACACAATATAAAGTGAACAGAAAACACACAACCGCATACACTGTATCGACACATTGTTTGACACTAGACGTGACATGCAAGATCAGTCTTGTAGGGAGTCTTGGACTATTGATTTTCTTCATTTTCATATTACTGGTGCACATTTGTCACTGTTTTTGCAGATTCATTAATTGAAGTTATTAACCTGTAAGTTCCTGCGGTCCAAATGCAAGTCATGTTCCCAAGTTCAAGTCTAAAAGGGTTCTTGGATTTCTGTAAAAGTTTTTATGGTGGACAAGGGCCAACAATTCACTTTCAGCAATAAATGATGATGAATCGTAGTTTACTTTTTGTCTCTGGAACGCTGCCTTAATGGGGATTTGAGGGCCCGAATGACACCATTATATCTCCAACAGGCCTTGGTTCAGCTCGGGCTCGAGGAGAGAACATGCACAGGTTAGCCATGTTTCATTTTATCCCCTTTTCAAGTGGGTTGATACGCAGAAATCCAAAGTGTAGATTTTGGTCTGTTACAAGGACCCAGTGTGGTTGGTGTTTAATAAGAAGGGATTACTTACTCTAACTGCTTGAACATTTGTTTTTCCTTCTCTTTCCTTCTCTTTGCTTCACTGCCACTTCAGTTGCATTGGGACCCACGGTCAGACAGAGGGCATCGGAGAAGCTGTTCTGTAAAAACAGCCAGCAGGTGAGAACAACAGTTTAACTTAAAACACCAGTGATTTATGACCCCAACTCAGATTCATTTCCTTTAGTACCTGCTTTTGTCTCTGCTGTATTGGTTTCACAGCGTTTAATAGTGTTTTTCAAATGAATAATAATACTTTCTGTAGTGTTGTTTGAGGTAAAACTAATGCTCCCATATTTCGGTCTTGCTTGGCCGGTTTTGCAGACAGACCAGCGGGCACCTCGGCTCTCTATGTACAGGGGATGTCAAGCGGAGGCGAAAAGCAGCCCCCCTCGGTTCCACCGCCCCCTCAGGTATTGGATGCACACCTAGCTACACCTCACACACCATCTGGCACTTTTTACCAACTGGCCCTTTTATTGTATTTTTGGCTCTTACTTTCTCACTTGTTTTCCTCCCCCTCTTGGTTGAGCTCAGTATGTTCACCAGCCTGCTTTCCTCACTGCCTTCTGTCTGGCACACACACTGATGGAAACACAAGGGAATGGGATGGAAAAGCGAGGGTTTCGCTACACATTTTTAAAGGAATTAATTGAGGGAAGGGAGTCCCTCATCCTTCATAGTGCTCTCCCTCTCTTCTCCTCTCTCGTTATTAAACCCTGCTTTAGCTCTTAACCCCCTTTCCTCCTAAGCTTTGTTGGACAAGAGTCAGCTAGCTGGTCATGCTGTCAGAGCAGAGATACTGGATTAGCTCTTAGCCAGTTACACTAGTGTACACCACCCCCACCCCATCCAAACCACTCTCCTTACCTCTGGGCCAGTTGATGCTTAGCTAGGAAGGCAAAGTGTAATGCTGTTAGGTCAAACTCTTATTATAATATATTTAGTCTGAAGCCGTGTCCCGTTTTTGATCGTCATTTACACCTTGACGCTGTAATTGTATGCACAATTGAGCACCAGCTAAAGACATTACAAGAGGCTGCTTGCTGCCTGTTGTGGGTACACACAGTTCCCTTCCTCTATTTAACCCCTGACCCAATATACAAATACGTGTTGCTAGGTGAAAATATAAGAACGGGAGCTAGAGGGAGTGGGCAGGCAATAAAAAGCAAAACTAAACAGCAGGGGGGGGAAATAGTGAAAGCTTTAATCAACGCTTGAGCAGCAGGCAAATGTTAATTTCATGTGTTATAGATTTCTGAATATTTAGTATCCAAAGTGACACAATCAGTGATGCGTTGCAAATAGCAGGCACATTTGATACCTGCTCCAGACACAGGTGCGGCACTCAGGAACAGCAGGTGCCGACCTCGCAGCACGGTGGCGAGGGCCTGCCAAATTCACATCCTGACAACTTGGCCTGAACCCACCGGGGACTCAACAGTCATGTGTGTAAATGAGCGAGCGGCTTTGCCCTGTGCTTCATACAAATAAAGACGGGATTAAAAAGGGTCATGGGTCGGTGTCTGTGGCTGGACCGCGAACTTCCAGGAAGGGCGAGGACAAAATGACCACTCTCTGTTAGACACAGGCGCGGTTGCGTTACACAACTGGAAATGTGGTTAAAGTTAATTCCATTATTACATTACTAGTTTAACAATTTTAGCGGAGTGGTGATGTCACTGGTGGAGGGCCTTCGTGCAACAAGCTTTACTGGCGTTTCTAACAGAAGGTAGACGAGACGAGAGCCTTTTAGCTTTGAAATTACCAACACTGCTACTAGACCTGCAACTAACATGATGGATGAATCCCTTCACAATCACAAGTTTCTAGAGCCAAATGTTAGCTTGTGTATTTTAATAAGTTTGGATTTGACTGATTCATCTGCAGTTGGCCATTTTAAAGATCTATTAATTGTCTTGCTGTTTTCAAAGAGCTGCTTGTCAGACCTTTATAGTTGACAGTTGCTGCTAATGAGCATTCATATTATTATTATTATTATTATTATTATTATTATTATTGCCTTTTTATTATTGATGATGATGATGATGATAATTGTGTTCCTCTTGACACATTTGTCTCTGTAAATGTTAGAAATAGATATGTACCCTTACAAACAAGCTGTTGAAATCTTCCTCTCTTTTTCAGGATTAGTCGGGGAGAACGCGCCTCCCATCCCTGACACCAACATGGGGAGCCGCATGTTGCAGACCATGGGCTGGAGCCCGGGGATGGGCCTGGGTCCAGAGGGCCGGGGCATCACCGAACCCATCCGGGCCACGCAAAGACCCAAAGGCACAGGTCTAGGTTTCAACTGAACACCTGGTATTCGAATCCTGAACCTGAAGCACGCTGGGACAAGACGCCCCATAGCTACAAGTGTGACGGACAGGAAATGCTTCTCAGTGCAATGAACAATAAAAACCGGTTCAGAATAATCCAGGATAAGAGTCGTAAGAAGGGAAGGAATAAGGCTTGTCCTAGCAACAGTCTGTGATGAAAGAGAAACTTTTCCCATATTGGGGAAACTTCGAGATGCGTGGGGTGTCCACACAGATTGTTCCCACAAAAGAAAGTGAATGACTGAAACGGAGCTGGAGAAAAGTCTGAAAACATGTCCACTCAAGACACTCCATGTTGGAGAAAATAAATGACATTGATGCCTCATCGTTAGTGTGTTAAGCTGGCATGCTGCCTCAGCCCCGTTACCTCAGATGCCGTTGTCACAGGCAGGAAAACTGGGGTAATTCTGACCATAAACCGAATGCGCAGATGATGGTGTGTATTTTTTTGCCAGTCAGCGCTTTTGGTTGAATTAATGATAAATGGTTTTGTCCAATATTGCACAAGAATTTTGGAATCAAAGACTATATTAGGCCATACCTCAAGATTCATTTAGGTTACTTTTTCTTTTTTAATGTAATGAAGTTCGGGTACACTGTATGGATGTGTATTGGACTATCTGGATGGCTTTCCCATCCATTTTGATGTTGGTTTAATGGTTTAATGGAAGAAGTCATGTCATCAGAATGTTTTTATCTATCCTAAAACAACCGATAAAAATCAAACCCACAACTTTCCCTTCATTTAGCACCACTATGTATGCATGTGCAGCCGAATGTTTACTAAGAAAACACGTGAGTTAAAGTCTTGGCAACGACTTGCTCGACTGTCCTATTTTACCAAGTTTATTTTAGGTATTTTCTCCTAACAGATGTTTGTACTGCATACTGCAGTATTTAACCATCCTAGCCATCTTAAATGACAGTATATAACAAAATGGTTATATGATTGTGACAAGAATTTCAGTGTTTCAATACAGGTTTGGAAATTCCCATGAAATACAGAGAATTGTTGTCATACACATATAAAGGTACCCTGTGTTCACATGTGTTTTCACTCAATCAGCCTGACCAGGACTGAGGGTTAGTACAGATGTGAGGTCCAAACAGACATCTGTGTGACTGCGGGGCCTTTACCTACATTAAAAAATGGATGACGTTTAATTACATATTTAAAATTAGTTTTAGACCCAGTGTCATTTACTTAACTGTGATATTTTTTTCTTGCATTTATTTAGGCTGTTGGGTATTATAGCTTACCTGCAACCATAGATTGTCCTGAAAACAGATCATTGTAAGTGCAGGTAGAGAGATTAAAGTCTAAAAAAAAATAAAAAAAAATGAAATTATCAATTAAAAATTGTGTGGGAAGTTGTACTGTAACAACATTTGTTTCCTCCACTTCATTGTTGTAACTATTGAGCAGCAGATGGATGGTCTTACCCCACATGGGCTGTTCAGAAAAGTGTGAGATGAGTGTCAGTGACACAAACAAATATTAAACTCAGAGACTGCCTAAACTATGTGGTAGTTATTGTCCTATGAGGCCAACCCCCCCCCCCCCCCCTCTAGTTCATCAGGTGGTTTAAACCTGATCTCATTTTGTTTTTACTAGAGCTTGATCACAGCTGGATTTTTAAGCCAATATGAATATCACCATTTAAAAGTTAAAAACACAATAATCACATATTGGCAGATATTTATTTAAGCACCACATATATTTCCAGTG